ACTCGTCGAGGAGTCAATTTCATTTATCCATGCCACAGTTGAGTCTTCGTGCTATCTATATACGGTACATAGGGTGTTGTAGAATTATCGAATGTTATGCTGATTATAAATTATCTTTCCGTTAATTTTTCAAAGGGGACATCTGTAAATCTGCCATTTTTAAATAGTTGTTAAGAATTGAAAAGCAGACTATTTGTAATATATTTGAGAAACTAACTGATTCTAAATTTGCATCGAGCAGTGAAGTTTTAGACTTTCGAAAGAATTTTGAATATATTATGACTATTATTTATTATTCATTTTAATACCTTATAAAACTAATACAATTATAGCATTAAGATAATTCTCACCATTTTCATCGTTTCACGAATGAACGAGCATTGAGAGCACTTTAAGATATATTCAAGAATCTTTTTTTGATTTATCGAATAATCGCAGGTGCTTCCGGTAGTCTTGAGACACCTTGTATATTTTTGAAATAAAGATCGATCCTTATCTGCATCAGTCGCGTGCCGGTGAGAGGCGGTGACGATGCTCGGGAATAAGAAATTACGCTGTAAGAGCTGGCGCGTGCCAAACTCACCCTCCACCATAAACCGTGATTACAATACACATACACATACATCTATACATATGTATGTAGCAGGCAAAGTGCAATCGTATAACTAGGAACTGCATCCATATGCATCGCGGGATCGTAAAGAACAACGCTGTCGAAATTAAGGTAACGTATACCGACGTGGAGAGGAGTGTGTTCGCCTTGCAAATGAGTTTAGAATGCTTTCTTGAATTTTACCTAATTATAATGAAGACTGAATGATGAGTAGAATTATATTGTCTTATTGTTAGAGAATTGTATTCACAGGAGTTATTTTAGGATTGAAGAACTCAAATGACTTTATCAGCTGCAAACTCGGGTGTGGAGATAAACGATTAATGACGAACTTAATGACGAATTTCTACTAATTGTTCACTAATTTTGATGAATCTCAAATCAATCTATAGTAGTAATATATAACACATTTGTTTACAAATTAGTATTGATTGTAATATTATAATCTGTGTGTGTTGTGTGTTTGTGTGGTGTGTGTGTGTGTGTGTGTGTGTGTGTGTGTGTGTGTGTGTGTGTGTGTGTGTGTAG